GTCATGTGTGTGTGTGTGTGAGGGGAACAGGGTCACATCACAGGAGAGTGAACTGCCTGTCAGAAATCATAGCACGTCAGCGGTCTTAACCGCGGCTTGTGTACTGCATCATTACTGTGTCTGTTCCCCTTTCGGGCTTGAACTGATGGTAAAACTAATGACATTATTTACTGTCTTTACATTTATTTTGAAAGATGAAGCTCACGATTATGGTAAGGGGCGTTACATTTCCGACGAGTGCTTGCGGTGTTCGGCCAATCACAATGCACTGGGTCAGCTGGCCAATCAGTATGTACAGTATTTGAAAAATAATGTGTTTTTTGAACATTAAAGCATGTCAACATATTCTGTTACACCAAATACACAAAATAATGATCGTTAAAAAAGCATCATATGACCCCTTTAAAACTTGATATGCTTATCATTGTTTTTCAGTATACCATAGAAACATGTGGAAAAATAATCAAAAAAATTGTTTCAATAACAAATATTGAAGCAGCAAACTTTGCAAAAAACAAAATTTGTCACAGCCAAAACTTTTGGCCATGATTGTATTTAGTTTTTAATGGAGTTTACTGCGATTTCATATATGATCTACTTTATAACGCTCATTACAAAGTCATTTAGAACCTATATTTATTGAATTTACAATAAACGCTACTAAAATTTATTCACACTTCTTAGCTTAAAAAAAAAAAAATCATAAAATGTTGTAATCAGTAACTTCACCACGGCTAGTTTTGACATGCCTGAAAACGACGATTTTAGGATTTATGAGGCAAGTTACTGACTCGAGAACCGCTCGAGCGAATCAGTCCGATTCACTGCAACGTAGACCGTATCGTTTCAGTCGGATATCGCTCATATGTTACTGATTGCATTGGTCGGGCAAACATACGCAGTCACAAAACTTCCAAAAAGTTGCGACGTTTCAGTCACATATAACAAACAAAAGTAATTCACTAACCTTAATTTCCACAAAACCAGTCCCAAATACTGTTGCACACTAAAAAAAGCGTTTAAAAGTGTAGTGTTTTACAGTAATCTTATGTTTAACGTTACCTTAGTGAGCGTGCCGCCGAGCTCGTCCGGCAGCTCTATCTCCGGATCCAAATCCTCATCTGAAGCCGACGAGCTGCAGTCCGACATCAGGAAAAATTATGAAAAAAGTCCGCAGTCGTCCTGTTTTTAATTTTACTAACGTTAGATCGCGTTATAACTTAAAAAGCCAAAACAACACTAGCTCCGAAGTCGCTTAAGGTCTGATGTAAACAGCGCCAGGTGTGAAAGCCCATCCTACTCGAGTATCAAACATCTGATCAAACAAAAGACGACACGCAGCGACGAGTTCAATGGATCGATCGAGCTTGTCTTCAAGTCTCTGATCCTCACGTGACCCGGGCTGCAATAGAAGTCAAACATCAATACTGCGAGTCTACAGCAACAATGTTGTCTGCTGTTGCTTGTACACACACGTTTCACGATTATCTTCTGGGCTTTAAAGTTTTGGGCTTTTTATATCACCCCCCTTCGGTAGTGCGAAGTATTACATAAACTATGTTCCATCACCACTTGTTGATTACCTTTGGGAATTTGCTAAAAATCATCCTAAAACACGTACGATAACGAAAATAATTATCAAAAACCGTTATCATATTTTTGGACGCATTGTATTTGTTGGAGATAACTTGTAAATACCATGGTAAATGAATAAAATTATTTAAATCCAAAAAAAAGTACCATCATATTATTATCTAGTAGTTGTGGAACACGAGCAAGATCTAACAAAAACACATAGAACAGACCGAAACTTATGAAAACACTTCCGGGTTATAATTTGTCCCAAAATTACAATAAGAAATTATATTTTTGCTGAAAGGAAAAGCTTACTTGTACCGCTACACACACACAATATATATATATATATATATATAGTATTTGTTCAAATATTATTTTTTATATTATTTTTCAGGTATTTTTATTACCTGAATTATGTAGCACTTTGTGTCAACTTCTATTGCTTTTAAATGTGCTATTTGACTTGAAAAAGACAAAACAAAACTCCTACCACTGTTTCTAAGGGCAGGGCCTTTATTTAAATTATTAAATCCAAATAAAAATAATAAAAGAATATATTTTAGGTTATTTTACAACTAGAGTGCATCTGTAGTAATTATAGTAAGCTCTTTATGAGGCAAACTATGTTTCAGGTACATTGGGTGGCAAGCCTTGACTTATGCAGATTCCATTGTTCTTTTGTTTCAAACAGGAACATGAATCATGTCTTGCTTGTGCTGATCATTGACAGTTACAAATCTGATGGTCCATCCAATCCTAATAGCCACTCCTCAATATCTCTCTCATAGGACTTGGCATCCTTTTGCCAGTCAATGTGCCATCGCAGGTTGGCTATGACCTGGGAGTAACTGTCTCCTAGGCTTTGCTTCCATTCCAGAAACTGTTGCTTATTGTAGCTGTGAACAGCTTGGGAGACACTGGGGTAGTCCACAATTGTGCGTAACAACTTGTCCAAGTCCTGACATACATCAGGGAAATGTGATGCAACATTTTTCAATTCTGATTCATCTTTGGACAAGTCTATGTGGAGAGAACATTGAAACCAGTTACTTTAAACAGGGACATTATATATAACAGGGACATCACATGCCGGTTATGCAGAATACTATGGCAAAAGAAGATATATGTTTTATTACACATCATCATCAGCAGTGCTATCATGAGAAGAAACTCACTAAAGAGTTGTGGGGGAATGGTCAATCCATCTGCATATGTGATGTACTTCCACTCGGCGATCCTCAGCATATATGTGGAGGCGTTCGCATTGCAACCATGATATTCACTGAGCACCCAGCCGGGATGAGGCTCTGCTGACTGAACGCTGACCCCAGAAATCAGAGGGATCAGTGAGTGACCACTGAGACCCCCTGGCTGTGGAACACCAGCAAGATCTAACAAAAACATATAGAGCAGATGGAAACAAATGAAAGCATTATATACACAAACATTACATATACAACATTATATATATATATATATATATATATATATACACACACACACACACACACACACACACATATATACAAAGCTGAATTTTCAGCATCATTACTCCAGTCTTCAGTGTCACATGATCCTTCAAAAATCATTCTGATATGCTGATTTGGCGCTCAAGAAACATTTCTTATTTTATTCTTATTATCAATGTTGAACACAGTTGTGCTGCTTATTATTTTTGTGGAAACTGTGATACATTTTTTCCGGATTCTTGAGCTCAAAAGAACAGAATTTATTTGAAATAGAAAAGTTTTTAAAATTTTAAATGCCTTTATTGTTACTTTTGGTCAATTGAATGTGTACTTGCTAAATAAAATACAAAATCTTACCCACTTGTTATGTTTATGGGCTGAAGTATGACTTTTTTTTTGTGCTAAGATTCACCTAAATACCAAGCCATGCTTTATTTTAAATAACTGAACCTCAGCTTATAACACCACATTATACTAATACTAGTGGTGCAATCAGTTCCCAGCCTTACCAAGCACAGTGGGATAAATGTCCACTAGTGATGCAGGTAGACTGATTTCAAAGCCAGACTTCACTCCTGGGCCCATTATAAGCAGAGGGACATGAGAGCTGCCCTCGAACATGGACATCTTATAGAACTGCCTGTGTTCCATGGCTAGATCCCCATGATCCGAAGTGAACAGTACGACTGTCCTGTTCAGTAAGCCAGTGTCTCTGAGAGCAGCTATCACCTCACCTACAGACACAAAATCACAGTATATCATTACATCAAACCCAGTGACAAAACAGCACTTAAACATGGATCTGGCTGCTCACCCAACATGCTGTCAGTTTCAGCACACATGGCATAGTAAAAGGCTCTAATGTTTCTGATCTCTTCTTTTGTGAAGTGGCCACTGCAATTTTTGGTGAAGGTGGAGTAGTAATCCACAGGGTGCATGTCTTCAGCCCGCAACCACTTTGGAACAGACACTTGATCATAAGAAACCTTTGAGAGAAAACACAATCATTGTCAGAGTACCTCAGATTAACTACTGCTACAGATAAACTGCCACTGTGAGACTGACTCTGTTTTGAATTAACCTTTATTTTTATATGTTAATTTTCATTTTAGTTTGTCTTAGTCATTTTGTCATGTAATTTTCTTATTACACATTTCTAATATTTCTATATAGCTTTAATTATTTTTTAGTAAATGAAGTTAAAGTTATTTTATTTCAGTTATTTTTTTAGTTTTGACCTAATATTTATATTTTATTTCATTTTAGCTTTATTTTAATTACAGAAAACAGCTCTTAATAATTTGAGTTTTAGAATCCCTAGCAATGCCCCTGGCCACATAAATTCACTATGGTTGTGTTAAGTCTTCAGAAACATTAATTAAAAAAAGACGACGACATGAAACGGCAGAAACACATTAATGAGCAAATGATATTATATTTGATGGTATATGTTTGGAACTGTTTTAACTACAAAGTGGACAAAATGTGTTTTTTTTTACTTTTGTTTTCAATTTTTTTTATTTAATTTTGTCTGTCACTATTAAACATTTTAATTTAACTGGCCAAGATCTCAGATCGAATTCTGCCATTCTATTTAGAAAATAAAGGGAATAGTTAAACAGTGTGCAGATTATCCTAGTCAACCTTCATTTTTACTATTCAACTGTTTCCCTCTGAAACTAAAGAGACTGCGTGGAGATTTCAAGTCTTGTTCAGTTTCTGATTCTTAGATTCAAATCCCAAATTAAGTCCAGTGAAAAAATCTTAAATGTTTTAATACTCCAACTCAATTAAGATTTAAAAATGTACAGGTTATTCATGTCTCCATTAAATCAGACAAGGCAACCTGCCTTGTTTAGCCAATACGGGGAGGTGCGGAAGGTGGAACCCCCGGCTGTGGGTCCCAGGGAGTCTGTGCGGTACGGGTGAGGGAGATTCAGCCCCACATATAGTGCAAATGGCTGGGCGAGAGACACAGCCGTGTGTCGGATCCACTGGACCGCAGCATCAGTGACGTTCCAGTCTTTAGTCATCACCCTCTTTGTGGATGCATCACCCACCAGATCTGTGACCGGACGGCCCTCTTGTCTCAGCAG